TTCAGGTGTCCCAAAAACTGCATTTGTCGTTTCCTGATTGTTTTTAACATTGAGCGTCCCACGTGGGCTTCATCAAGCACTACCTCATTTGATTTCTTTTTCCTTCCACGATACTCTTATCAGTCTCCTAAGAAACCACATTAATTTTCAATGTCTCTTAAAAAACACATCTTTTGGCCTTTTATCTCTTTTCACTATCTTTAAACTGGATCTATCTTGACAAGATACAATAATCTGATTACATTTTTTTTCAAGGACAAAAATGGGGAAAGGGCTCAAATCAAAAGGCTCATTAAAAAAAACAAACCCCGAAGCAAAACTGATCAGTCATATTGAACAGAAACTACACTGTGCATTATAAGTAGAATTTTGTGTTGCACGTATGAAAGTTACGCTTAGTCACTCATCAGTGGCGAGCTGCTATCTATAGACTATAGACGGCCGTGAACTTGGCCCAGAAACTAAAAAGGTCTGCTCTTCATTTAAAAAAAATCGATTTTGGCCTGCGTTTGTTTCAGATACGCACAGCCTTAAGTGTAGAATTCTGTGCAGATACGTTTGCTCGTAGAAGTTGCCAGGTCACTCTATTCCGGCAGATTTCATGTTTTTCTTTTACTTTTGATGGTAATTTTCCGGAGACAAAATTAAAAAGCGCTTCATTTTTCGCCTCTTATCAATTTGAGGAAAACACAACTTGAAACTAAAAAAGAGTCCAAGTCACAGAATTCTACACTTGTAGAATTCTGTGGTCCAAGTCCATTTCTCCCCTATAAAGAAGACTCGCGGCTTTGCGTTTTAGACCAAGAAAATGAAGTACATGTAATCGAAGTAGTGCATGTCACATCATGATTTCATAAAGAAGATTTTTTAAAAAAAGAAAAAAAGTTGGGGTTCTTTTCCCTTGAATGGCCTCACAATGTAGGTTTGCATCAGTTAGACTATTAAATTATTTTGCCTTTCTCTCCTGAAGCTAGATATAGTCTAGGACGGTGAGCAATTTCAGTACAGCCCGGAAGTCAAACCGATAAGGCCTATAATATCGAATGTGTTCCCCATAGTGGATTGATGGTAAAAACAAAACTCTCCTAGATTTCTGGCACAGAATATAGGACCAATAGATATGATACCATGTAGGCTACATATATAAAAACTTTATCTCTCGAAATGCCCTCGAGTGACACATTATCTAAGACTTGCTATAATGTTAGTTAGTCTAATCAAAGAGCTTATTACAATTTATAAACAGTTTGAATTTACGTAAAGCTTGGGCATTTCAACAATTCCCCCCAGTTTTCTTCTGCTTTTGCCTGCGAGAAAATTATAAATTATGAATCGCGTTGTTCGGTCCACGACTTGGACACTGGACACGACGCTAATTGCCAGAAAGCCTAGCCAGGCCGGGGAGTGGGGAGCTCCTGTTCTCTCGTTGCCGAGAGGTCACTGTGTTCGGCTCTCATTCAATAGGTCTCGCCGCGGGTTCGAATCTGGAAAGCGGCGGATTTTTCTTCTCTAAAACTTTCGCCTTTCTCCTTCTCCTGCTATCTAGGCCTAACAATGTTCTGTCGCCTGCTTTCGTCTCCACTTTCTGCCCTCACCCTCTCGACACACCTCGGATCTTTTGCCCCTCCTCTTCATGGGCTCTGCAACATGGCTCGTTCTGCAGCTACTACTTGGCTCCTTCTTCCTGCTGTGTTTCAGCCACACCCTTGATGTTAATGTAGGTAAGAGCTGACATCTAGCCTTTTTGGATAAAAGCAAAAAATCTCGGAGGTCCCGCGTGCAAGTTGCGCGTTATTTAACTTAAATATCCCTTAAATTGGTGGTCCAAAATCAATGAGAGTAAAGTTGGCTTCGGCCACAGAATTCTACACTTAAACCAGAGAGTATTTAATTAGTGTCTCTGCTTAAACTATGTCCTGCGCCCTAATAATATTATGACTTTATACATTTGCGAGCTCCGTAAAACACTTTATTAAAAACAAAAACACCACCAACAACAAAAAACCCCAACAACAAAAACCCCGCTTCTCACGCCTTGGCTTGTCCTGACCGAGCCCAACCGAAACTTGTGAAACCAGCAAGGAGTTTACAGTAAGAAACTATTCAAACTGCAGGAGCGAGCGTCATGTCCGATCCGGCAAACCGCTCTAAATTTTGGCATTTGGCGTAGATTCACCTTGGCAGAACCTGGCCTAGTTTCGTTTCCGTGTTTTTGCCTTTTGCCTTTGGCAATAGCCTAGGCCCATTCATTTTTACTCTTGTCTTCGCGTGCACAGGTTGTCTAGATCTAGCTGGTTCTCGTCGACACAGAAACAATAGTTTGAAGTCTTGTTTAAAATCTTATCAGTTATGCCGTTGTCTGCTAAAACTGTCCTGGTGACGGGGGCGTCCAGAGGATTGGGATTGGAATTAATTAGACAAATTCTCGCCTTGCCGAAAGCACCAGAAGTGATTATTGCAACCTGTCGAAACCCAAGTTCTGCAGCTGACCTACAGGCTTTGGCCAAAGCAAATCCGTCTGTGAACGTGGTCAAATTAGATGTTGAGAAGGATGAAGACATCGTTTCTGCTGTCAAGGTAAGTTTTTAATCCTCTAGCAAATGCTCTAGATCTAGCAAAAATTAACTGATCACCATCGATTGGCATTTATTGGACTTGCTAAAAATAGAAAAGTGAGCTCGGTCTAACATCAGGACCAAAGATAGGCCTAGATCTATGTGAAAATCATTTTCTGCAAATCATGGCCCTCAATAGGCTTGCTTTCTGCTGATCGGTAGGGTTGGGTTGATTTAAATCAGATCTACTTAAATCAGTGAACCTTTTTTTTAAAAGATCTA